TAAATTTAGGTGTAAATATATAAATATCCATTAATAATGGATAAAATAATTAAATTTGATACTCCTTTAAACCCTCATTTGATTCATTTTAACGCATATCCAAATGTGCGGTAATTAACAAATTTTCGTAATTGTGTTCTTAGCTGCACCTTAAACTACCATTCATTCATTTTCCGACCACAGTCTATTGTTGGTCCCTCGTCTTTTGGTCTTTAATGGCTAGGATCGGTCCCTTCTTTTACCAATTGCCTTTCCGTTGACATGTTCAAATTTCAATTAACAGTGGTACAATGGTACAACGAAGGACGACAACAAGGGTGGGACCATGATCGATAGAAATATCTGGTGCGCTAGATATGTGGACTATGTTCTTTCCTTTGTCACTGCTGTGCTGTTCATGTTCATCCATACCCAATAATAATGGACCCAAAAATTAAGTTAAATAAGCCAATAATAGTCCCTATTTTTGGACTTTATTAATTATTATTCAGAGACCCGTCCTAACTAAAAACGTGTGGATTTGCACATTTGGGGTATATTCTTATACAGATTCAAATCTTATCTTTAATCATCTCACATGTATTATTTTATCTATACAATCAAATGTGTTACCTCTTCATAATACATATATTCCAAGTTTAGTTGAATTTAAACGTTATCGTGCAAGAATTTACGAGGACCATATTTTCATTTCATCTTTAAATTTATTAATAAATGTATCAAAATTTTGGAATGATTCAATTATTATAAATTAAGTCTTTCATAAGAACTGAAGATGCCATATCCTATTTTATTAAAAAAAAAAGCAAGAATAATTTTTCAAGCAATATGTAATAAGTGCTGGACCTATTCATATGTAAAAATAGCTAAATACCTTCAACTTTGAAAATAAAAATATTAAGTATTGTAATTTTTTACCTTTTTTTCTTATATTCTTGTAATTTTGAATTTAAGACTCTAAGTATTCTTATTTAAGTTGGATAAACTTAAAATCTTAAGCTTATTAAGTTTAAATTATAATAATTATCTTGAACTTTTTTACTTCTTAATTTATTTTTTATTTGATTATATATATATATATATATTATGTTATTTAAATAACAATACATTTAACTTTTACATTACAATAGTTATTCTTAATTTTTACTTTGTTTTATTTTTGTTTAACTCCATGGACTCAGATTCGTTGATCTATCACAATACTGTACGTAACATATAAATTGTAAAAGATTGGTTGAAGAGGCGATATATATGATTAAGTATCACTAAAAAATTATTATTTACCAATAAATAAAAATTGTTAAATATTAAGATATATTTTTTTTATCAAAATAAACTTTAAAGGTTTACACTAATAAATAATACATTATATTTAACATATTAATAGTATATATTATTAAAATTATCATAAAAATAATATATACTAATATAATATGTTATATTATACAGTTATATATTTAAATATTAAGAGTGTATATCATGTTTAGAATCAAATAATAAAAATAATTTTGTATGAATCTTCTTGTTTCAACCTAAACAACCGACATATAAAAGAGTTAGAAAAATATTGTGCATGCTTGCGGATTCAAAGGTAGAGCACCGATGGAAAAAAAGTAACTAATAATAATATGCCAAAAACGAAAGAACAAATAAACTGCAGCTTTAATTTATGCATGAAAGCAATTCTGCCAAGTTTCGAACGTCACAAAAACAATAATGATGTGTTTTCTAATATAAATATTGCAAAAGCATTTTTGAACAAGATAATGATTGCAGAAAAGACCTACTATCACAAGTGAGTGAGTATATGATTACTTTATATATATATATATATATATATATATATATATATATATATTTATATAACTTAAATGTGGTGAGTAATTTTATTATTAAAATTATTTTTATATATAATAAAATTTAAATTTAAAATTTTACTTAAATAATACTGAACTACTTAATATTTAGATCAACTTTTATTAATATAATTATTTTATATTTAATTAAGTTAAATTATAAAGTTAATATATTTGACGTACTTTTTTAATTTGATTCATCCAATAAAAAAATTATTTAAATTTTTTTATGAGTAAATAATTTTTTATTATTAAAAATATATTGACAATGTTCCACAAGGAGGATTTAAATGTAAAAATTTATTTATATAAAAATTAAAATGTAAATATAAATTATAAACTTACTAATTTTTAAATAAATATCAAATATAGGGATAAATATGTATTCAAAGAAAAAAAATTAGTGGACTTGTTTAGAAAAAATATATATAAAAGTATCAAATAAAAAAATATAAAATTTTAAAAGACAAAAAAATTATATCTTCAAATAAATTTAAATCAAGTATAACTTTACATCCTAAAATTAGTAATTTTTTAAATATTCTAAAAAGTTGATATACAATAAAAATTATAATGAAAATATTAATACGAATACTCTACTCATTTATTTGAACGTAAGATAACATATAAAAATAAAAAATAAAAAATATTGATTTAAGTTCTTGGAGCTAATTTGTTATTCTTATATTCAAAATATACTTAATTTTTTATTAATAAAAAATTTACTCTATTTTATAAAATTTTGTTAATCTTAATACATAGAATTGAATTCAAACATTTAAAAATAATAATTTTTTAATAAAAAAAATGCATGCATTATATTAAAATTATAAAAATGTAAATAAATAATTTTCAGTTCAATAAATTTTATTATAATTAGTTTTTTAAATATAATTTTAAGATCTAAAATTAATATTTTTTATTTTTTAACTGTATTTTTAAATAAATAAATAAAATATTAATGTTAAAATTTTTTATTATAATTTTTATTTTTATCAATTTTTATAGAATATCTGAAAAAAATCTTTATAGAAAAGAAAAAATTTATTATATTTAATACGTGAAACTATACTAATTATAAAAAAATTTTAAAAATATTTTTATTTTCTTTAAATTTTGTGAAATTTGTATTCAGTATCTTGTTTATTTTTCTAAACAAGTTCATAAATTTTTTTTATAACTGACACCTGTTTTATTAATAAGTATTTGTAGTTTACATTTATATTTTACTCTCTGTATAAGTGTTTCTTTTTTATGTTTTAGTCCTTTTTTATCTAACATTGCTAAAATATTTTTAATTAAAAAATTAATTTAAAAATATTTATTTGTATAAGGATTAAATTATAATTTTTATATATAAAAAATAATAATAAAGTACAAGACTAAATTTATTTAACTTATACTTTATTATTTGATACCTTTCAACCAACTTTTTGAATTAAGTTTATTATGTTCACAAATCTAATCATATAACTGAATAATGCATCTGTTATTGCAATTATTATTTTTTATATAAATATTTACTTATAATTGAGACTTTAATAGTAATAGATGTAAAAGAAAAGTTAAAATTTCCTACAATAAAAAGGACATTAGAAACAGGTTTTCCATTATTTTGAAGAGGGATTTAAACTATTTTGATAAGTAGTATTATTTAAAGTAAATATAATTGGAAAGTAAAATTTTTAATTAACACAAATCTAAAATTTGAAAGTTCTTTTTCTATAATTTATGTAAAATTAATTTATTATTATATTTAAACTCAAATTTGTATATCTTAAATTTTAAATTTGTTCTTTGTAAATTTTTTTTATCACAAACTAAAATTAATTTTTTATTTTGTTGAAATTCAAGTTTGTATGTTATATTAATTAAATAGTCTACATTCAAAAGAACTAATACAGATAAATAAAAAAAGAGATAAAAGTAATATGAAATTTCAATATTAAAAGAAAAATGTGAAAAATATATATCTACAACTGTAAAAGAGGTTAGAAAATACAAAAAAAATAAAATAAAATTCATAATACTGTTATGAGTTGAAAAATGCTTTGTCATTTATATATTATTAAAGTTTATTAAAATCTTAATTTGTAAGAATGGTCGATAGATAATCACTTTTCAAAAATAATTATAGAAAGTAATTAAGTATTAATTACTTTTTTAAGTTATCTTTAATAATTATTTATATTATCTCACTTGACTATTTTGAAAAATATAAAATGATATAGTAATTTAAATTAATACAAGTTGTCTTGAATATATTTTTTCGTTAAAATTTACTTGATAAAATAATATTTAAATTTGCATTTATTTTTCTCTTACTAGATGTGTTAAATAAATGGGGCATTTCAAAGATTAATAAGAAAAAAATATGTGCATAATTTATCATATCATATGATAAGATCTTTGGATTAAATTTTTAGACGCCTATAATTTTTTAATCATCAGCAAGGATTTATTTATTTTTAACGCGGCAGTAATAAATCAAAATAAAAATGCAAAGCAAAAAAGTTTAATTTATCACATTAAAAATTAATTAATTATTGACTTCATTTTTACTCGTTAACAAGTTGTTTCCAAAATTCTTTGAATTATTAGTAGTACAGTTTTTAAATATTTAATTATATATGTAAGTATAACATAATTAAATGACTAAATCAAATTTTCAATTCAATGCACCATGCATATAAGTTAGGAAGTCAAAAAACAAAAGTTTCTGACACAATAATTCATTTTTGGCATAAGTTATGCACATTGAGCATGAATTTAATATTAAAAAGAAAACCGAAATAAACATGATTATAACTAGATTAGAATCAAATCTGTTTTTCTAAGGTAGACAATTAAAACCAAAGTCAAAGAATATGGTCTAGTGAGGTTATCATAGTATTAATTAAGATTTCTTTTATATATATATATATATATATATATATATATATATATATCAGTAAAACACGGTAATTTTAATTTATACCATATGCAAGGACCTAGTTATGGTAAGATTAAAATATAAGAAAAGCAAGAATCCACAGGGAGATTCGCATGCAAAGCCACTAAAGTGAGAGAACACATGGTTTGTTTGGCATTTTTTGTATTTTTGTCTTCCTATGAAGCATTACAAGTGAGGGACCACAATTCCCACACGCTTCCAACACGCACTCAACATTTCTCTCTATCCATTCATCTCTTTTGATCTACCACTTTCATCATCATCATCAAATCTTATACATTCACACACAATTTGAAGCCCGTAAGAGAACAGTGTCAAAGAGAGAATTAATTAAGTTAAGCCCGTTTCGAAAGACCGCAGCTTTGGAAACTTTGTTTTGTCTTACGTTAATAGTGGTAAACAAAGGAACCGATCGAAGAATTATGAGCGCGAAGCCAGTGAGACCTCGTACACGTGTGGGAAAATACGAGCTGGGAAAAACCATTGGCGAGGGAAGCTTTGCTAAGGTCAAGTTCGCCAAGAACGTTGAGAATGGTAACCATGTTGCCATAAAAATCCTCGATCGTAATCACGTGCTTCGCCACAAGATGGTGGAACAGGCACGTTATGTGTTGATTTTATTCTTATTGAAAAAAAAGTTCAATTTGTTTTGTCTTTGTTTTCATTTGTATAGGTTTAGTGTTGATGAGTAATTACTTATAACTCAGCTTTTGTAGTTTGTGGTTGTTGTGCGTAGTGAAAAATATTGATTTTTTTTGGCGTTTGAAATGGCAGCTGAAGAAAGAGATTTCAGCGATGAAGATGATCAATCATCCAAACGTTGTCAAAATTTATGAGGTACCGCTCAGTTTTCTGAATTTTCTTTGAACATGCCAGCTAGAAGTTAAACTTAGTTCTTACAAGTTATATTTGCTAATGTTATAATTAATTTCAGATTCGATTAGAAGAGATTGTTATAGCTTTTTTCTAATAAAAAAATTAAAATAAGATCCTTCATATGACAAAGTTTTTGAGGGATCTTTGTTTCACGTGTCTTTTAAAAGCTAAAACAACCCAATGAAACTCAAGGATCAGATATGGTGGAGCACGTGATAATGTAGCATATTTTTGCCTGCGTAAGGAAAGAAAAGGTTAACCAACCTGATCGGTACCATGGTGTGAGTTCAATGCTAATTTAATTATATAATTTTCACTTTTCTACATATGATTTTCCCAAGCGTTATTTCTAATTTATTGGCTTCAATTTTCTGACGTCCATGGTCCTCTCTTCCAATGACAAAATAAAAGTCTCTTTCTTTGACAGTAACGTGTTATTATTTTCGAGATTTACTGATGTTATAAGAAAGTGAATCTTGACTAAAAACACCCACGCTAAAAAGAGACGAAGAAAATAAGTAAAAGGAGAAAATTATAAAAGTAATGCATTACAAGAAATTTAAAAGTAAGAACAAGTGAGTTTAACTCACCTTACAGATTGTATATATGTATGTATTTATTCAAGGTCATTAACTGTTCTCTGTTTACGCATAGGTGATGGCAAGCAAAACAAAGATTTACATTGTCCTAGAGTTGGTTAATGGAGGAGAATTATTTGACAAAATAGTAAGTGCTTAATTTATTTCATGTTTTATATATTTCTTCCTTCTATTTTCCTTCATTTGCATTTTTTTCTCTTGATGTATGTAGGAGGTTTTGGAATAATTAAAAGTTGTGTTTTACAATGACAATAACATTGATGTTTTGCTCTGATGTTGCATCTAAATGAGTAAATCTGAGTTACCCCATTGCTTCTTGATTTGATTTATAGGCTACAAATGGGAGACTTAAAGAGGATGAAGCAAGAAGTTATTTCCAACAACTAATCAATGCAGTTGATTACTGCCATAGTAGAGGCGTGTATCACCGAGATTTGAAGGTCTATCAATTACAATATTCTTCTTTTCTCCACTGTAATTTACTTTATAGATTGACAAGTGTGAGCAGACATCAACTCCCCCCCCCCTCCCCCTTTTTGAGTTAAATTAAGGATCAGACTCATATTCAATATTCAATGTACTTTGCAGCCAGAGAATCTTCTTCTGGACTCAAATGGTATTCTTAAAGTTTCAGATTTTGGATTGAGTACGTATGCACAACAGGTAAGATTATATATATAAGACTCTTTCATCTAATGAATTTGTCTTTTGAGTTCCATTTCAGCTATCTATAGTTTATGGGGTTTTTTTCATTTGCCAAAGCTGAGGACCTTGTTTAAATTCTTAATTATTTATTGCAGGAAGATGAACTCCTGCGAACTGCTTGTGGAACACCAAACTATGTTGCTCCTGAGGTACCTGCTTTGTGTCATAGTGACTCAGATGTGTAATACTAAATTTGTGCCTCAAAATGCGCTAAAAGTTATGTGGTGTGCCATTTGTGTCAGGTGCTTAATGATAGAGGTTATGTTGGTTCTACATCTGATATTTGGTCTTGTGGAGTCATTCTCTTTGTACTTATGGCTGGGTTCTTGCCCTTTGATGAGCCAAATCAACTAGCACTGTACAAAAAAGTAAGTAGTTTCATAATATAATCCATGAGAAGAATGAAAAAATGTTGCTTATGCCAAAATCTGAACATATGTTTCAGATTGGGAGGGCTGAATTCACATGTCCATCTTGGTTTTCTCCTGAGGCAAAGAAACTATTGAAGCGCATTCTTGATCCGAATCCTTTAACTGTGAGTTCTGAGTCCAAAGCTTTCTTACTTTTAAATGTATTATTTCCCTCCCTACTTGTGCCATTCTGATTCTGTTTGTCGTGATAATAATAATAATACTGTAATTACCCTTCAATATCTTACTGTTAGCATATACTTTTCTATATTAAAATTTAATATTGGCTTTTTTTGGCAGAGGATAAAAATTCCTGAGCTCTTAGAAGATGAATGGTTCAAAAAAGGATACAAACCAGCATCTTTTACAGAGGAAGAGGGTGTCAATGTAGATGATGTTGCTGCTGCTTTCAATGATTCTAAGGTGCTGTATTTTTCACAATATTTCTAATTTCTATCATTTTTCTTTCTAGTAACCACACATTTCGTTTCACAAATAACCGAGTCACAGGTGAAATTTTTACTTATTTATTCTGCTTAAAATATTTACTAATTGTATATTTTAGAAAGAATTTGAATCCTCTCCATTGAAAAATGAAATAAATGTGTTTCTCTTTTTAAGTAACATGATAGGACTAATGTTAGATAGAGGAAGACATAATTTTGATCAAATTATAGGACCTACTAATTAAATTTGATAAAATTGTGTCTTTTGTTCTTTAACATAAGCAAATCATATTACTTAACAACATGAAAAGATCCAAATCTAGATAGAAATACAAGAAAGTTTCAGAAGTTGTTTTCCATGTGAAATTTATTTGTCCTCTTTGATATGTAGGAAAATCTGGTGACAGAGAGAAAAGAGAAACCAGTGTCGATGAATGCCTTTGAGCTCATTTCTAGGTCACAAAGCTTCAATCTTGACAGTTTATTCGAGAAGCAGACAGTAAGTAAAGATTAGTTTATTCTTTCATAATGTTAAAAATGTTATGCATTATAAATGTTTTATTCATATTACAAGTCAAATTGAAAATTGTGAACTATTTGGTTCGTGAATCAATTTTTGATTGTTCTATGTTTAATTAGGAGCCTGATCTGAATTCGATTGATTTTCTGGGTAATTTGCTAACAAAATATTGATAATGATACCATAGGGAATTGTAAAGCGAGAAACACATTTTACGTCACAGCGCCCTGCGAATGAAATTATGTCAAAAATTGAGGAAACAGCCAAGCCTCTAGGCTTTAATGTTCACAAAAGAAATTATAAGGTAATACTATATCTGTGCACAATAATTACACACATTTGCCTAGAGCTATTTTTTGTGTAAACAATCTTTTGCAAAGAAGAAGAAAACACTTTACACTTCTAATGTTAGAGTGCTCGAACTTATCTACATTTAAGTTCTGTAGATGAAGTTGCAAGGTGATAAGAGCGGAAGGAAGGGTCACCTTTCAGTGGCTACAGAGGTAAACTTTTTGTGTGTGCCTAAGTAGCTTTAAGAGGGCAAGCATATATCTACTATTGATTTGAGTTTAAATATTTATTACATGTAATTAACTAATAAATTAAAATAAATATTCACTCTTTTACTTTATACGTCTCCTTTTAGGAGAATCAAATTTAAAAACTTGTGACATTAACAAAAGTTTTGTCCGAACAGATGACAAATTTTCACAATAATTATTTAATCAATTTTATGTACCAAAAAAGGTATTGTTTTGAAGCAAGGATTTAGCCGAATTGTAGAAGCTTGACTACTAATAAAATATAGCACATAATTTACTTCTTGTGGATGTAAATTGGAGGCCAAAAAAGTTCAATTTTTTGACAATTGAAATAGTGAAAAGAATTGAAATAGTTTCATTGATTTCTTGGGCTTGTTTGGCTATGGTTACAGGTTTTTGAAGTGGCTCCCTCCTTGCACATGGTGGAACTGCGAAAGACTGGGGGTGACACACTGGAGTTTCACAAGGCATGTCAACATATTTTAATGCTGACTTTGGTTTTTTGGGGAAAAAGAACAGAAGTCTATTCATTTTGGGGGCTCATTTTGGTCTCTTACTATGCTTCTTCCATTTTGAGGGAACAATGATATCATGCAAAATTGTCAATATCTCAGTTCTGTTGTTGATTTATGCTAACCTTATTTGTTGACTGATGCAGTTCTACAAAAACTTTTCATCGGGTTTGCAAGACATAGTGTGGCATTCGGAAGGAAAATAGTGAAGAATTAAGGTATTCCTTATTAGAATTTAAGTGTGGTTCAGCTGTGACTTTCATTTTAACTTTTTTCAAAATTGAGCTTGTATTTTAAGTTTGAACCTTTGTCACAAGTTTTTTTTTAATTATCTGAGTTGATTTTTTTTAAAAATAAATGACACATGTCAATTTTGTTCAACTCTTTCTGATTTTTTATTTGACTTACCTCAATTTTAAATCTTTCATTTATTTTTTGATGTGGACTTAAAAATTTTTGAGGCGAAATTGTATGAAGAGAGTGAACTTTAAACTCAAGTGACCCGTTTATCTAAACAAAGTTGGCTATTTACACTTACGATACTTTGCTTTATATATGTTGCTAATACACCCAAAAACTTTCATTATCTAATCCTCCCCGTGCTCTGTGTTTTTATGGCATTGAAGTTAAGCTATAGTTAGAGACTTATCAGGTTCATTTACTGGTTTTTCTGAGTAATTAATAAGTTTATTATGCTGCAGGTGTATAGCAATGCCACTTATTTTGGTTCGTGGAAGGCATTATGCTTAGCTAAAGCTGGAGCATATGTTAGTTGGGACTCTGGTTTAAAGTTGACAGGGAAAAAACTTTGATTCTACAAAATCGTTACTCAAAATATTTCATGAACTTGATTCAATGGCTCCAAATAACTATGAAAAAATGATAGTTGCCCAAATAAAGATGAGAACAATCTGTTTTTCTTATAATCAAAATCAAATCAGTAAATAGACTCGGAATATATATTTGAAATAACTAAAGTAATATAATTTCTTAAAACTTAAAGAAATCTTAGCCATCTCCAAAAACTACAGGCTGGATACGAATATACTTGACCTTTAGAATTTGTCGAATATTAATTATATGCTAGTATAAAGTGAAATAAGGCTCTATTTATACTAAGTAGTTCGTCACAGCAATGATTAATTCCATAATTTCGGATACGGATATATGGAAAATATCCGCCAAAATAAACAAATATCATTTGAAATGTAAAAATTGATATTTCCCAATGATTCTTTTTTTCTCACTTCTCCATTTTCAAATAACCAAATTATCAATTTATTATATGAACTAAATGTTTGGATTCACATTTGAGAAAACATGAATTCACGTTTACTGCTATTAGCTAACTTTAATTAGAACTGTTTTATTTTAAACAAGGTATTTAAATTTGAGTTGATAAGAAAATAAAAAATGAAAGTGTTAAAAATTTAAAATTTATTTTGTTGCATATTATGATTTTATCCATCTTGAAGTAAATTGAAAATACTATACTGAAAAACAAAACATTGTATGGAATAAGGAGATAAAGATCCACTTAAACAGATCGGTTTTTCTTACGATTAATATCGTTTAAAATGTGAAACATTATAAAACATTTAATTACTTATAAACTAAAGAAATATTATGGCGATATATTAGGAATAAAATTATTCTTACTCTTAAGAATTTAATATTAAAAAAAGCAAGTCATTAAATGAGAATCCAAAAAATTCTTATAGAATATTGCTATATCCTTCAAGTTTTTATAAAAATTAAACGAAAATAAAAAAAAATTACGACATCAAGAATCCAAAAGTGCTTCACATATTTTTTTACTAATTATGAGAATTATTTGTTAGAAAGATATTGACTTATACCTAAAAAGAGAAAGGAAAATAATTCTAGTTATTACTTGAACAAATATCTAAACATTTATGGATGGTTTAATGAACCAAAAAATATAAATATATATATATATATATATATATATATATATATATGATTATTTTATTTTATTTTACTTTCGATATGTTTATTAATTAAGAATAGTATCTTTTTATGTTGAGTTATAGGAGGTACTGTATTAAGTATCATAAAAATAAAATATTTTTTTTATTATATTCTTACTCATAAATTATACTTTTAATATTTTATTAAAAAATAACTATTTAAAAATATAATTTTTATATTTTTATAAAATGTTATATGGACATTTTTTTAATAAAAAATATTTTTAAAAATTATATATATTTTAAAATCTATAAATTTTTAAGAAAAAAAATGTTGTAAACAATTATTTTAATTTTTTTATAAAACATATTTTAAAATTTTTTATAATTTTTTTTATTTCCTAAAAATTTTCTAAACATTTAGAAATTTGTGAGGGCAAACTAAAAAGCTAAATTCATGTTTATAAGGATTATGAATATATCTAAGCTAAGAAAAAAATACATGTCCTCTTATATTTGTCTTAACTACTTAAAACAGAAATTGATAAATAAAAAAGTATTTTCACGCAGATTCCCTTTTGTCTTCAATATTTTAAAAAATATAAATTAAATTTAGCTTAATCATTTTTAATTGAAATAATCAAAATGTCATTTTTGTATAATCTTCTATCACACAAATTATTATATGGGTAAAGTCTTAAAAAGATTAGTACTTCATTAGTTTTGTGAAAAAAAAAGGATTATTATTCATACCCATAAATAATTGTAAAACTAAGAGTATTGCTGTAATACGTTCTATTAATTTTGAATTAGATGACTACTGATAAAATTATCTTAACCATTAATTTAGGTTAAATCTTGGGACATTTATTCTTTATATATATATATTGCAAGATGACTTACTGTTGCATGGTTTGGTGAATACGAAAAAAAAAAAAGTGAAATTGATTATTGATTCAAGATGAAGATGGTGATGTTATGAAGATGGCTAATACATGAAAATAAGGAGGAGCAAATTAAACTGATTTTTTATTTCAGAAACATAGAAATAAGGAAATTTTTTTGACATAATCATATTGCTATAGTATAAATAACATAAAACATTATCTTATAAATAATCATAGCACTATAGCATTTACATGACTAATTTATTAATCAACGCTTTATATTTTATTCAATGTTTTATTTTTATTATTTATTACTAATCATACTAATTATTTAAATTCATTACTTAGTTGAGTGTCGACATAGACAAACATTTGTCTTTTATAATGATAGTCACAAGTTGCCCCATTGGCAAAAGTATAGCAATAATTTTTCAAGTGCAATTAGGTGGCACTAGTATAGTAGCACTGCTACATCAAAAGCTCTCAAAATGCATAACAAAACAGTGAAATCAAATCAACATTACCACTGTTGTAAACTAAAAAAAAAAAAAGTCAAGAAGCATTACAAACTGAATTGATGGAGAATTCAGGATCCTGCTGAAACTATCTTTATCTTCTATTATTAATTTATCTTCTATTTCTCACTAGTCTTGGACAGGGAAGGAGAGGATTAGATTATGTTTCAATGTATCTAGCAAACAAATTACATGTCTATGGTCCTCAAACTCTTCCTTCTCATGAATAAAACAGTAAGTTGATATTGGAAAAGTCACATGTAGCTAATTTGTGCAACTAATAGGGTCGGTACCTTCTATTGCGATTGCCACTACCTCCTCCTCCTCCTCCTGGCCGACCACTTGGACCGTTGCTCCGATCATTTCTGTGCGGTTGAGAAGCTGACATCGGTACACCAGGCTGTTGACTGCAGAATGTCCTCAATACAAATATAAGTATTTATCATACTATATACAACAACAAAAAAAATGAAATGATGTGGGTGCCTCGTAACAACTTACAGGACATAGCCAATTTGACCATCACGTAATACCATTGGAACCATCTGCATTCCTGATGGCATTGGACCCCTACCATATATCACTGGCTGTTCATACAGAGATGAGAATCCATGAGATGCAAAGTCTAAACTTGTTTGAATGAAGAACCAATCAAGTCTAATAAATTAAGCACAGCAGCAAACAAATCTTATCTGTTGTAAATCACTAAATACCTGTTGAAAACCAGTAGCAACACCATATCCAGCCCCTAAAGAGTTGTAAAGATTTCCGCGAATGCCACCACCATAACCAGGATGTGGAATATGGTTTGGATGAAGTCCGGGATTGAAGGCATAACCTCCATCAGATCTTTTCTCAGTTTGAGGCTTGGCAAGAACAACCTCAAGCGCTTGGCCTAGAGTTCAAATCCATTACAGATATTTGAGTAAACATGATGAATGTTCAAACTTCAAAGATAAACATGTTTGAGATAAGGGTTTAATTATGATCCTACACAAAATTATTAATTGATAAGTTGGTTTCACCCCCTAGTTACACTTCTACAAGAATTTCTCTTAAACGCATAGAAAGAAAAACAGAAGACAGACTTCCAGGGAAAAAAGCCATTTTTAGCTCTATGTGGTGTTGAAGAAGTACCATCAATTTCATATTTCTCTGTGTCTTTTATAGCCTTTAATGCACTTGACCTCTCGGTATAATGAATGAAACCAAAATCACGCTTCCCTCCTGATTTGCTAGGTGGCATGACCACTTTTGTCACTTCTCCGTGATGACAAAATAGTTCCTTCAGTTGTTCAGTACTAGTATTCTCAGGTATGTTTTTCACATAAAGAGCTTTAACCTGAGAATATGCCCAAAAAATACTTAGTATGCAAAATATCAATTAAAATTAGTGGCAACACTAATTAACCATGGCTGAATGCAGTGTATACAGCTTTAAAAGCAAAACAAATGCATCATTGATATTTACAATGCAGCTTTATAACTAGTCCATCACTTGTTGTGGTTGAATCAGGATTCTGTTCATATAAACAGAGAGAAATAGACTTAAATATATGGTCCATATATGTAGTTCTGAATTCTGATTGATTCATTGTCAGCCATGGGGACTGTGGATAGCTGCTTTGTTTATTTTGTAGATGTTTCAGTGTTTAATTCTATTGCTAGAAGATAATGGGGAGAAAATATAGACTATGGAGATGACAAAGGAAAAATACTCCAATAATGAATAAGGGAGAAAAAGGAGGAAGGAAGGAGAAGCATGGATCACCAATTATAAGCATTCAATCACACTAAGGTAGTGTTTGGTAAACACGTGAGAACAAGAAAGGACACAACATATGGGTTCAATTCTATGTTTGGTGTATTTTAAAATAGAATAGAACAAGACAAAAATTAACAAAGAAGTCATTTCGGTTCCACTAAAAAAGGTGGAACCATAAGGGATAGACCAAAACTATTAATTTTTTAATGGCAAAAAAACCATTCTGATTTCATATCTCTCTTTCCGAGGGTCATAAGCCACCTCCCTCTTTCTCCACTGTATACAAAGCAGTCTCTCAATTGTGAACAGTTTTCTGATGTTTCAGTGGGCTTCACCTTCTTTTTAATTTGTTTTCCCTACCGATGGTCATTTGCGTTTCATTCGACAGTTGTCAATTAGTCTCAAAATTTGTTAGCATACTCCAATTTTTTTGTCAATTGCATTTCTTGATGATTGTTACAATTTGTTTCTAAAGTTTCACGGTTTCTAAAGTTGGTCAATTGTCAAATATGACTACTTATATAATAATCAACTTTTTGTGAACATCTCTTTTGAATAGACAGTTCTCCATGGAAAAGTTATTTTATTAAATATTTATTAATTTTTTAAGAAATAAAAAAATTAATAATTCATTAAATTTGTATATTATAATTACCATAAATTGACAATATAAAAATTAACAAAAGGATCTTATTCGATTCCATTTTTAATATTCAACCAAACATTGATAGGTATGTATGTAAGTGAAAACAATGTTTTGTTTTGTTTAATAAGCACCGAGCACAAAATAGGACATGCAATCCTATTTATATTTATAGATGCCAAACACAGTATTCAGCAATAATGTCCAGTCTCATTCTATTCTACTTTATTCCACCGTGTTCTATCCATGCACCAAACACTACCTTAAAGCCACTAGGTGATATCAATTTAAAACCACCAAACATCTTTCCACCATTGTTAAGAAAATTACCTGTGAAGAAGCAGAATGATCAGATGAATTCTTTGGTTCTGCCCATGTAACAGTTGGGGTATTACCATCCAGCTTAAAACTCACATTTAACATTTTTTGCCGTGAATAATCAGCACATGCATTATTGTAATACAATACAAATGCAAAGCCACGATTCCTACTTGGATTTTGGGGGTCCTGTAGTAATAAACAACAGAATGTTCACATAAAAGGCAGGTCTTACAACGTTTTAGCACAAGTTATAACATAGTAGCAAAGTTAGTTCAGGAGTGCACCTTTATGAGCTCAATGATTTCAACTCCAGGACCAACACCCTCAATGACTTTCCGAAACTCATCATCGGTCCAATTTTTTGGAACATTACCAATGAACAACCTTTGTTTTGACTCAGATAGGGAACACCTTAAAATTTTATTCTGACACCAAGAAAAACTTAACATTAATTAAAACTATTCATTAGCAGAGGATCAACAGTGGAAAATTACTCTCTGATATAATCAGAGTCACTGTGAATACCTTGAATTCCTTATTGTGAAACTCTTCAATGGCCTTTTGTGCCATCTTCTTTGTTTTGAAAGCCACAAAAGCATAACCCTTACCTTCTCCAGTGTCCCTATCTTTCATCAACCGCACCTGAAGAGTGAAAAAATAAATCAACTTTCATATGATTTAAATTTTTCTCTCCCCCCTGCCAAAGACAAAGTCTTCAATATCACAATGCAATACATAACAGTTCTAACCTCAAAAATATCACCTATTGGCTCACACAATTCCCTCAAATCATCTTCACATGCATCCCGAGGAAGTCCACCAATAAAGATTTCTGAACCGTGAGGAGGAAGGGCAAGAAGCTCATTATGTTTCTGCTTCTCTTCTTCATCCATGAAAAATGGTTTTTGTCCATCTTCTACAGACTCAGTGGCAATGTCACTTCTATCTGCTTCAGACAATTGATCTCTTCCATCAGCCACTACTACCGAGTCCTCATATCTGTGTCCTTCAACATTTTCATCGCTACTTTCATCCTCTCCATCATCATCGATACATTCTTCACCGTCATCATCCAATTCTTCCATGTAATTTTCCTCATCAAAGTCCACATGCTCATCAATTTCTACACCTTCTGACATGATTGACTCACGGCCTTGTCAATAACACCTGAAGGTTCACACAAAATCTCAAAGCGAATCTTAGGTGGCTGCATGATTGCCACACAAATACACATGGATAAGTACTAGTTTTTACTTATCGTAACAGGCTTCTAAGATAACTTCTTCTTGACTAAAATATACTTCATAAAAAAAAGGTAAAATTCCATTAAGACATGCTTCAGAAACAACCCAATAACCTCCCTAAATGCCAAATGGTCCTCAAGTGCTTAAATTGGAACTCTTTTCATAAGCAAGGGCAATGCCACAAACACACACACACACACAAACAATTTTCCAGTTTGTTTCACAGCTCTGAATTAGCTAAATATCAAAAACCATAGCTAAACTAATGGAATAAAACAGGAATGAGGGAAGGTTAGGCCCAAAAAAAAAAAAAAAGCATGCAAAAGAGCAGCTTGTAAAATAAAATTAAATAAAAAAATTCACTCTATAATTATCAAATGCGCAACAGAGGAATGTCAACACACACACACATCAGCCATATAAAAAAAATCCCACAAATATTTGCCTAGCATCTCAAAATGGCAAATGAAAAACAATGAGCAAATATTTTTTTTCTAAAGAAAGGCAAAAAGAAAAACAGCAGTGAAAACTTAAAATAAGCAAAGAAAAAAAAATCAGAGACAGGAGAAGGAAGAATGGAATAGGGGAAAGTGACATACCAAAAAGAAAGAGAGATCCTTTTGGGTATGTGGGATCAAATTGAGTTATGAGAATGGTGAGAATAGGAGGGTACAAGAGTTCCCTCCCAAACAGGAGGAAGAAGAAAGGAGATACAGGGAGTGATGGCATATTGTTGTGAAGAATAAAGAATTGCATACCATAGCATATATAAATGGGTGATTTTGATTTTGAGAAGTGCTTCTATGGTAGTTGGTAGAGTAGAAGAGAAGAGAGAGGAGTAAACAAGGGTTTCGTTTCCACTTTCCACTTTGCAAGCCCCTGATCCAGAGATTCCAGAATCGATACAGACACAGACAACGTCAAGCAAATGTCAGAGACAAGCCTGTCAAATACGACACGACACAACATTGCCACGTTTCGAACCTACTTTTATTAAGTCTACGGTAAAAAGTCAACAAAATTATGTTAAATTAATTATATTTTAATATAAATATTATAATTTATAACATTAAAATTAATTTATATTTAGATAAATTTAACGTTAATCTAAATAAATTTTAATTTTAATTTATTAAATATAAAAAATTATACTATTATTTAATTGTAAATAATTTATGAATAAAAATTTTAATTTTTTAGTAATTAATATAAAAATTATATCTATAATGTATTATACTTAATTTACAATATAAAAACTTTAAACTAACTATCCACCAAAGCTAAACTCGTTTGAGGAAGCTATAACTTCAATTTTCTTACGGACAAACTAACAATGTGCTTCTTCAATCGGTTTATTTATCTAGTTTAATCGAAAATTCTCACATTTGTCCAGTTAATTATAAGTGTGGTTTTCAAACTTTATGGAAATATTATTTTGGACAGATTGAGAAATTCAACCGTCTGAATCAATATATTCTTAAGTAATGAAATCAAGTCTTTGTTCCTTATATTAAATAAATTTATATTACATTAAAAAAACGTGTTTTTTTTATTATTAAGAAAACACATTATAAGTAAAATATTTATTGTTGTTGAATTTAAGATCAACTTACTTATATTAGGTAAAGATTGACTTTAGTAGTTAATAAAAAATAATATTTTTTTATTAAGGAAATATTTCCTCAGTAAGATCAAGAGAATTTTTTCTCATTGATAAGCTTTTGCGAATAAATTTAAGGAAATAAGTAAACTGTGCAAAATTTAAAATATACATGCATGTACTTATAATAAAAATACTAATTTTTTTATGAATATATATTTAATATACTTATTATTAGATAGATTTTATAAAGACTTTATAATTAAATAACAAGAATCTACTGTCAAATTATAAATGAAATCGACATAAAATTTACCCAATAATAACACAGAATGTCAAAAAATGTTAGTAACACGTCTCTCATAAGAATATTAATAATTTGACCGGTTGTAGCAAAAATAAGAATGAATTATACATTCTACCAAATTCAAGATTTACTTGCATAAATTTTGCTAATAATGCATCGCATTGGAAAACAAATTCTTATTTTAATTAAAGACAGATGGTATACATCAATTAAACGTGTTCAAGCAAGTAAATAACAGTGATTAAGCATGTAAAATATACCAATAAATATAATAACTTTTCATAAACTAACCTAAGTATCAATGGCAATTTTAATTTATAATTTGGTACCCTCACTTGGATGTTAAATGAGTACAAACCCTTGCTTCCTTGTAGACTTTCCCTGGTCTACAAAAGTAGCCTTTACTAGGATTGCAATGGCTATCCTGTGAGCAAATGCACAAACCTTCTAATGCACACCCATCTTTCAGTGTTGTCACCCCATCTTTTAACCCAAGTATTTGATTTGTCCATTCACTTGAGAAAAGCCCTTGTGAATCATACTTCTCTTTAACAGTAAAAAATTTATCAGCATTTTTGTACTTTTTGATGGCCCCTTCAAATGCCAAGTTCCTATTCTTACCCCAATGAGGTAACCCTCCATACTTGAATATTCCAAGTTGTTCAACTTCTTCAAGAATGTCTTCGTAAAGCCTAGGAGTCATTGGATCTTTGCTACGGTAGTATGTGATATCAAAGTCTAATGCATCCTCTTGCTTCCCCAAGTATGCACTTGAAGCCTTCACATAACGCATGAGAATTCCATTGTAAAGCTCTATGCCACACAAGCCCTTGGGCTCCAATTGAACTAGCTTTTGTACATCTTCAATGAAATTTTTTACAACAGACAACCCAACGCTAAATGTGGTTTGGTGAAAGAACTCTCCTTTCACCCTGGAATCCCATGCACATGCTGTGATCTTTGCATCTTGAAGACTGTCCAAGCATGACCCAGATGCCTGAAGCCGGTTCTGAAATCCAATTACAGGATATCCAGTAAAGATTATACCTGCAAACACCAAATATAAAACAAATACTTCAGTCTTTAGCTTATTCAATAGAAAATTTTGTTTGAGCTGATTACATACATAATATAATAACATAACTCTTTCAACTGAAACTTTTATCATATACAAGATATAAACAAAATTTTTTGTTAATGGTATAAAGTTGCTATTATGTATATTTTTTAATATAAGTCACGTGCTTTATAAAAAAATAATTTTGTTTGACTTAGGAACACCCAAAATAGAATAAAATCAGCACTTTTAATGATTTTTTTTTTTTGTATATACAAAATTTAAACTTAAAACTTAAGTTAAAAAAATAAAGTATATATCATGTAAATGTGAACTCTCCATCCATTAAAAGTATCCAAGGTTACACGATAATATTATTATATTTTGACTTTAATGGAAAGTACCATTGTTAGTAAGTCCAAAAGCAGTGGCGATGAGGGCAGTCGTTGTTGTCTTAGCAATTCTGCACTTTCCATCGGCATCACTAGTGGATTCTTGAATATCCTCTGCAGTTCCATTAACCCGAAAAGAAGAAAATATTAGCAACATTAACTACATGAATTGCTTGCACCAAAATGTGAAATAATAGAATGAATGACATATACTATACTATACATATTATAAATTAAATTTTTGAAATTCAATTGAAAAAAGCTAGGGAAACCTGTGGTTCTTATGAGAGCCAATTCAAGCGAAGGAGTGGGACGGAAAGGAATAAAGTCATAGAGACCATTGCCCGATGTATTGGTTGGGACACGATCATCAACACGGTAGACAACCTTGTGTTGACTTGGGTACCACGTTATATCCGCAAACTCATGTGCATGACCAAATCCAGCCACTTGTTCTCCCAAATCTGAATCATCTTTTGCCAGATACGTGATTGATCGCTTGAAGAGAGGTTCTAGTTTTAGAGTAATCTACAAAAGTCATAGGTAACATCATAACCCACTTTCTTGAGGCACGAAATTTAAAAGAAAAGAAAAAAAATACTTTATTTGCGTAGTTTTCTTTCTAAAAAACGAGGTGATATGATTAGCTCAACGACTACTATTATGTGAACTTGGGTCATATTTCGTATAAAAATAGTAAGGGAAGATTTCCAAGAATCTATATAGAGAAAAATGCACAATACTTCTTCTTCATAAAATATCCATTTGATGTGAAGTTTTTTTTAACTCTTCATGCAAACGGTTGGGACGATAACCAAGACTCTTAAGTCTTGAAAAACGAAATGCTCTTGACAGAATCTATTCCAACCAAAATGCGAAGTTCAATAATTTATGGAATTAATTATAACCTAATATAGAGTACGCTTGATTAATATTTCGTAAGTTTTTGCTTTATTGGCTTAAAATTATTAATTATTAGCTGGAGTCTATGACAATAAATGAAACTATTCCTTATCATGAATGTAGGAACATGCTTTTGCTGGCAATCTATCCTTCTCCTCTATCTTTCTCACATTTTCCGTGTTAGTCTTTTTGTACGCTTTTTGAGAATTTACATATTATAACGGATTAGTTTATATATATATATATATATGATATTTTAAAATAATGTATAAAAGTAAAGGCAAAATATTTTCACACTAATATAAGTTTAAAAACTCTTATACTCAATTTGAACTGTTCATTTAAATTAAATTTAACAGTCAATAAAATAATAAATTATAACTCATTAAATATAAGTTGAAAGATTTAAATCAAATGTAATAGTTTTTAAAATTACATGGATGTGAGGAGATCTTTCTCACTCAAATATAACATTTTAAAAATTTATAAAATAGTAATAAAATACTTCAAAAATATCAAAGTCTCCATTAACCATTTTTGTCAAAAGTTATTACTAAGTTACTTTTGAAAATTTTCCAGAAATTTTACAAAAAAAAAAAAACTATTTTTTTGTTATTTAAAAAAAAGGGCTATTATAACTATGCGAAAGGAACGAAGTTATTAAGTTTTAACAATTGATCGAGAGAGAGAAATTTAATATTTATAGGATAGTAACTTTTCCAAGATCCCAATATAACTAAAAACTTTTGAGAAATTTTGAGAAAAATATGGTTAAAAAAGTTTGTTTTAAATTAACAAGCATAGTGTATATCACATTCAAAGATTAAAAAAATACAGAGTTTAAACGTAAATAATATAATATAAAAATTATGTAATTTGAATCACTCTTTTAAATACACATACTTTATCATATTTGTTTATATATATATATATATATTTATTTATTTATTTATTCTCTTTTTACTCACATCTAAACAAAACAAAACAAAATTAGTTGGGGACACCGGGGTGGCCTGCAGGAGGGTGGTCAAGCAAACATTTCCTATAGTATAATTTTAAAATAGATTCAGATGTAGAAATAGAAAAATCACATTCGTTCAAATAACCATTTGATCTCACATATCCCAAACATTATTCTTTGAGTCTTTTGTCCAATTGTGACTATTCATAATTTATCATAATGGTTAAATTCACGCGTTTATCTGCACCCGTGATTACCCATATGCATAATGATTACAAATCACCCCCATTGCATGGGAGATATTTGTTTGTCGAATCAATATTCAAAATTTATAATTCATCTTGACAATATAAAAACAATTGAATATATGAAAAGAATTAGAAAACATAGATATAATATATTTCTTGCTATCAAACAATATCTTGGTTTGACTTTTTCATATATTGGATCCAAAATATGAAGATATTTTAAGTATTTATTGACAGATAATCAATCACCAAAAGTAATTCTAATAGTTAGAATTTTGAGTATGTTCCAACCTAGCTAATGTCGATATTTGAATTTAAATTTGAAAAAAACAATGAAAATTGAAGTACTACTGGATTGAACTGCAGTTCACTATATATATTTCTAATTAGTTCATTCGCTAATTTATTGTTATTGTTATCTTTTAGTTGCACTCTCGGAACTTGCAGATAGCTGACTACACCAGGACATAAAGACAGGGATGGCCAATTTAAAAAGGACGATCACAGAAATGCCCACTACATGTGAGAAAAACATAATTCAAATTTTTATTTGTCTGCTATCTAATGGAACAAGTGAATCAGAGGCGTAAAATGTGATTCAGAATATTTTATTATCATTTAGATCACCAATTTACCATAGGATAGCCCTGATTGTCTTCTAGTGGTTGCTACAACATGCCACTTCTGATATTTAAATTATTAAAAATTAATATTGTAACTATTATTATTATTATTATTATTATTATTATTATTATTATTATTATTATTATTATACACGTATATGTAAAATGTATACTAAATAAATAAATAATCTAAAGACATCCTATACTATAGTAGACAGAATATTTCTTTTATTCATAAAATAAGAAATTAACAACTTATTTGTGTCATGAATGATGGGATCAGCTTGCGTTGTTTATAGGCCGGCAAGTTAGGACCATGGATGAGTTATAGTTTAATTTAATTTTTTAAAATAAAATTATTTTAACTTAAGAAAAAAATGAAGAATTCTTTTAAAACAAACTAACTTAAAAACTTATTAAATAGTATTTAACAATAAATTAATCATGGAAAATAATTATTTTCAACATATAAAAATAAAGATGATTATTCTTTTAAAATAATTAATCCAAATGCCCAATGTTTCAAACTTTTTGTCAAAAATAATTTAGTCCTTAAATTTTAGCCATATATGTGTGAGTTAATTTATAAAAATATATTAAGTTATTTAATTTTGGAAATTAAAAATAATTAATTTAATTAACAAATTTACTGACTAACTCGTGTATATAATTAAATCTGAAAACAAAAATATAGATGAAAAATCATATAGGCTTATTTGCTATTTTAATTTTTCGCTGTCGTAGTTATTTCCTTTTTTCTCTTTTTTTGGGGAGTGATTGTACTACTCTCTACTAAGTCTATTTCACAATTATTACAAAGATTTCGTTGTCCTTGATGTTGATTATGGCAAGTGACACAGAAGACTTCTACAGTCTACACTTTACCGTGTTGACTCTCTCCTCTGTTTAGAATTCAACTTAAACTTTCGTGTAAAAATCAAGCTAGCTCTTTTCTTTTTTAAGACCATATTTCCAGCGTGTTTGGATTAGCCTTTCTTTAGATAATTATTTATATTTAAACAGTTTTCTATAAAATTATAAATAACAACTAGTTATTTCTTTAAAATAATTGGACTCAACATACACTTAATATATATATTTGGTTTAACTTATTTTTAATAATTTTGTATAAGAGAATTACTTCTATGAAAAAAATGATAACCTATATAAACATGAATTTAAACACATCGATCTTGAGAAAACTTGGGTTAAGAGTTAGGATCAAGGACATTTTTGCTTAAAGATGAGACTGTGTTTCACCCATCTTCTGACGATTCATGCATATAAAAAGAGAAAAAAACAGATCAAACAAAGAGCATTGATCATGATATTGAAGAAGGTAAATAGGAACTAGCAAATGAAGAAGAGATCATATCATACCTGTGAAATAACTCCTAGAACACCCAGTGATACTCTGGCTGCATTGAGATCTTCATGTTGTTCATTTAGTGTCTCAACGTTAGCATATCCATCTTTAGGACTTGCTGGCCTAACAATTCTAAGCTCAACCACATAATCATGAACAGAACTTCCTTTACCCGACAAAGTGCTTCCATGAGCACCGGTTCCCATAAGCCCCCCAATTGTCAAACCCCACCAATATGGTGCATATGGCAAGGCCAAGCCCACCTTTGCAGCCTCGTTGATGAGTTGTTTCATTGTCACACCACTCTCCATTGTCATTGTCTTTGCTTCCACATCAACCTTCAATATTTGGTTCAGATATTTGGTGCTTATAAGCAACCCATTTTGGCCTTCAGGACACACCAACTTGGGTATGCTGTGGGAAAAACGTGTGGCAACTTTCATGTTAGTTTTGTTTCTTGTTGCTGATGCAACCATTGACAAAAGCTCTTCTTCAGTGGTTGGGTACAACACTTGAGCAGCTTTGCAGATGCTTCGATCAGGGAAGATTCCATAGGAGTTTGTGATAGTGCAGCTTGTGTTCTTTGATGAGCACTTTATTGGGTCCTCTGGAGGTGTGCAAAGAACCACAGAGAAGAAAAGAGACATAAGAGTTGGTGTGATGAATGCTTTGTGTGACATCCTTTTCAAGCTTAACAACATCATGGTTCCAGTTTTTGAACTTCGCTATTTTTGTGATCTTTTAGACCATATCTACATATATATATACCATATATGTGTGGCTGTTTTGATTGCTTAATAAGGAGTAGAGAGCAAGGAAACTAGAGTAGAACTTTAATTGAGCATTTCTTGGTACAAACTCAAGGTCAAGGTTAACATTAAGTACCATACAATTCCGTGGGCTAACATATATACATGAGTTTGGTAATTTAAATCGGTCAAAATTGTGATCGTATATGCTACTATATATTAGTATTTTTATTATTTACATTTTTTTGAAAAAATTATAAGCGTATCTCCAAAAAAATATACGAGACAAAAAAGTTTCCACTTCTAATGATACCTTACACATTTTATATATATAAAAAAGAATGGTAGTATTTTTTAGTTTGTTAGAACTTAAATATGATATCATAAATTAAACTAAAATAATAAGATATTACTAAATGATAGTATTAAATTTACTTTATTTACATGATTAATGCTAATTAATTTAGTTAAAAATTAAAAAAATCATATAATTAATATATTTTTAATATAAATTTTAATAAAAATTAATTTTTTAACCAGTACTTTTAAATAAAATTTCATTTATAATTATATATTTAGTAGTGTCAGATGCTGAATTTTATTACATGAATAAGGCTGCTCTCCTGTGACCGAAGGTTATGGACTCAAATTTTAAAATTAAAAAAAGTTTTTTTGTAATTTAAGAAAATTATGATATACATAAATGTGTACATCTACTCCTTGTGAACCCTTACTTGGTAAGAGTCTCCGCTGTATTGCGTATTAAATCGCCGACAAATTAAAGTTGTCATTAAAAATAATTATAATGTGTTTTTAAGTATATAATAAAAAATAATTTAAATTATAATATTTAACACAAATTTATTATATATGCACATAAAAAGAAAGCATAATTATTAACGTTGATTTTTAGTTTACCAATTTGATATACGTGGCAAGTGGGTCACGAGACTCGATTATTTTTACTTGAAATGATGAATTTTTGTTGGTTTGGCGTTGAGAAGGAGCTGAAATACACCTGTCCTAAACTTGAGACATAAAATAAGAAAATTAAAAAAAGTGTTGGTTGCTATACCTTAAATCTTGCTCTGTTCTGCCTTTGAATAGAAGGGTTAAAATAGTGTGGTGCTAGGAAGTGATCTTGCACTTTGGCCACTCACTCACTCATAGTTGAAGACAACACACATTCTCACGTATTTCAACTCATTCTTGCCACATCTAAGGCACTTGTCAGTGGAGACCTTATAAAATTTGCATTTTTCTTTGTGCAAGAAATTTCAATTTATATATATATATGATATTGTTTTTATGGGCAGTGACGTCTCATTCATGTCACTCTTTGGTGTTGGATTACCTTCTAACTGGAAATGTTTTCTTCACAAATGCAGAGGATATCTAAAAGGTATTATTTTGTGTACATAGAAAATTTTAAAAAGAAGAAACCATATACGTTGTTTTATTATATAAACTTGTAGTGATTTAAAAATAAAATTATATTTTAAATAACAGTTTTTTATTTTTTGTAAAAGAAAATATATGATAAAAAGTTAGTAAATTCTAATCAGTATTTTTAATTAAGTACAACATACTTTTTTAATCAATGTCCTCTTGAATAAAGTACAACATAGTTAGTAAAATTATATAAATTTTTTCTTTAAGATTTTACAATTTAATATATTAATATAATTAATTTTGAATAAAAATATTATTTATTTTATTATATTGCATACTGCAATTTGGAGCATTGACAGCCAATTAATTGAAGAAAACTACTAGACCTAGCGGCACCGCCAAATACATAACTTGTGAAAACAGTATCTCGGGCTCGATTTGGATCAATCCAATTTTCAAAAATAACAATTGTTTAATTAATATCTTAAATATTAGTTAGCATTTAATAACTAATTTTATTTTGACCACTTTAATATTAATTATCTATTTTTAAATTATTCAAATTAAGTTTATCTTAAAATTTATTTAAAAACTAATAGAACTATAATAAAGATATAATATATCGTTGATTTGTACAAATTTTAAAAATAAAAAATAATGAAGTGCAAACTTAAATAGATTTTATTGTATTTTATTTAAAGATTTGAAATATTTTTATTTATTGATTCATATAAATCAATAATATGCCAACATATATTATATTTTTATCAATTATAATATAAATTTTTAGAGTAAAAGACTTAACTTAAATAGTTTAAAAATTAAATATAAATAAATAAAATTAAAAAACAAAAAAAAAAAACATAAATTAAAATATAAAGAAAAAATGCATAATTTGTTTGTAATAATTATAAGGAAAAAACATGTTCCAGTACTACATCCCAAAGAATAGGATCGATCAATATCATTGAACAAGTAATAAACTAATAATGCAATCTCATTTATAGAGGAAAACTATGACCCTAATAAACAGATTCCTCAATTAAATGCGACTCACATTTCTTGTTGAATAGAGTCTAAGGTGTCAATGATGCTTATTGTATAACATACACTTTTAAAGAGTATAACAAAGCTTAAAAGTTGACCAAAACTTAATTTGCTTCAAACATTAGAAAATCGTTCCTATACTATTATTATAACTATCGACCCAGGGAGAATTTATAAACTTATATTTTAGTCTTCTTTACTTATCACTAATATTTATTGTAAATCTTTTAATAAGGTTAAAAGTGTTTAATTTTTAAATAAATTTTAATTACAAAAATATTATCTTATTTTTATTTTATTTTCTATTTTCTATCATTTATACAACATAAATAGAAAAAAATTGTTTTCTGAATTTCTTGTACAAAATTTTGAAACTAGAAAATAAAATAAACATAAAAGACATTTCTTGAAATCAAATAGTCTTTTATTTGGAGAGTGTCAATAAAAAACTTAGAAAATTTTGAGTATCGTGGAATTTACCATTTTATAGAGCTTAAAAAACTTATGTAATAATACTTTATGGAAAGTTACATTTTGTATTCATTTGAAGTATTTTTTAGTGAAGATGACTCTTTGGGTTGGTCTATTAATCCTAACACTTGTTTGATAATTAAAATTTAAAATTAGGAATTTATATTTTGAAAATTATTTTTTTGCACTTCTAGAAATTAATTTTTTTGAGAATAAATTTTTAGAATTATAATTTTACACTTTTAAAAATTAATTGTTGAATTTAAAATTTTTAATTTATATGTTTAGACTTTCAAAAAATAATTTATAAAATTAATAAATATTTCTAAAAATAAGGATTTAAAATTAAGATTCTACAATTTTTGAAATAAATTTTTGAAAATGGAACAGTTTTTAAATTTAAGTTTTTACACTTTCAAAAATTAATCTATGAAATTATTAACTATTTTTGTAAATAATATTTCGAAAATAAGATTTTAAATTTCCAGAAATTGATTTCTAAAATTAAATTTTCATATTTTTGAAAATTATTCTCTAGAATTATTATTATTTATTTTTTAAAATAATTTTTAAAATGAAAAATCTATTAATCGTGAATATAACTTTCTATACAAGGTTCTGGAAGTTAATTTCCGGAAGCCAAATTTAGATATATTTTGAAATTTTAAATTTTGAATTAAAATTGAAAATAAAAATACATGAAAGATATTCTAGAAAAAAAATTAGTAGGGTGTGAAAAGAAATTATTTTCGGAATTGTGCTAAAGCCAGTAGGATAGATGGCACTTTCTTTCGGCGCATTATTTTTGGGCTTCCTTCGTTGTTCGTAGGTTTTTATTTGTTAGTCCAGAAATGTTTAGCGTTGCGAGTATAGTTTTAATTTTGGTATTCGGACCCATAATTTTGTTCCCTGACGTAAACCAAAAAAAGAAAGACACATACTTGGACTGAGTTTGAATAAGAAACATATAAATTCAAATATTTAGTTTATGGTCCACAGAAAAAAAGAAGAAAATACTTCAAAAATGCATTGCCTAGTTGGCACTTGTTAGCATGATTGTTGTTCTAGTTCTAGAGTCCTTGTATTAATTTTTGCATGCCCCATTTAGCCTTAGTCCTCTATCTAGGTCAATTAACATACATGGATCATATGTAAGCTTTAAGATTTTTGTTCCATATTTGGTGTATAATTAGTTTGATTAGTTCATATCAATTTGTTTATTTGAGTTTATGTACATCACAGTTATTATTAGTACTACTTAAATCGAATATCACTAATCAAATCATCATCACCTCAACTACCTTAAAGTGGATGCAATATTGGTTTTGGTGCAAAATTTAGATGGAGAAAAAAAAGGTAAAGAGAACTTCATTAAAAAACAGAACATATTTATGGTCAACGAGCTTGCAAGCTAATAGGAATACTACACAAGTTGAAAATAATGGTACCTGATGTATGATTGGATTAGTTTATTATGTGCAAATTATATTATAATAAAAATCTTATCAATAGAGATTAAAAAAATTCCCCCCAAAATCAATCGGAACCTAACATACCTGAACCAGTTGGAAGATTTCTCCAAATAAATTTGATCCCAACAAGTTTCATTACTCTTGTTAGTTATCAACTTTCTCTCTTTAATCACCGAAGTCTTGCGGGGAAAATATAACTTTTAAATTTATATGATGAAAATTTCTCTAATATCAGAAGATAACTAATGATCAACATATGACAATAGCTAGCCAAGTGTAGTTTTTTTCCGCAAACTAATTTTTATGTAATTGATTTACATGCTTAAAAAAAAGTTCAATTGTTGTTTCATGCAAAACACCAATCAGAATAGGTTCCTTGTAGCACCTTACAACTAGTGTTCAGTGGAATGGGACCCAAAACAGCTCATAATTCCAAGAAAACTCTGATTATGAGTTTCAGTGAGAAAAGATTGTCCAGCTGGAGTCCTATGTAATGATGCAATAAGCTCTTTACCTTTTTACAGTGAGAAAACGTTCATCATCACCTAACTAAGCTAAAGGTCCTGCGTGAAGCAGCCGCATAAAGCACGAGAGTTAGGAAAGAAAAGATTCTGCGGTTAAGACTAGAGAATGTAAGACACACTTCATGATCTCTTCTCATTAAATGCTCAAGCCTATTTATTTTTACCCTTTTTATGCTTCATGCCAAATAGCAACATGAAAAAGTTTCATGGCCAAGAGCAAATGATAGTGTGAATCAGAAACACCTGAGCAAATCATTTTTTGCTGATTTCATTGAAAAATTGGTTAGCGTTGATATCCTCCTTTGCATGAAGGAAAATTTTAGAATATACACAGTTAATTATCTGTGTAGGAGTTGCACTAATAATCCATGTAATCACATTTTAATCATTCTTTCAAATGTAGGCTTATGCAAATATAACAAATATTAATAACGGACGGAAAAAGAAGGGGTTAAATATATTATATATGCACTCAAGTCTTCACATTCACAGGCTGTGGGCCGGTGAAAGGTACGTGACATAATATACTGAAAACTCAATTACTCATGTAAGAATTATGAAGGTCAAAGAATATGACATGACCAAGACTTAAAACTTAGTGCCTGCTAATTGGGAAGTATAGCCATTATTATATGATATGCTCTCGCTAGTAATGTGTAGTTTATCCATTTAATGAAAAGGAAAAATTGAAGGGGTGGTGTAACATTTTGTTAACTAATAAAGGCAATCGCTAAAATACAAAATACTACATGTTATTGTGACAGGACAGTCCATTAAAGGGGCATTGAAGGGGTCTAAGCAATTCTTTCAACATCAACACAACATCCCAAGGGAGGTAGGCCACCACATACGGCTCCCTTTTATCTTGGCATCTTAACAAAAGTATGAAAAACGAACACATTAAATTGTTCTCAGCTTCCTAGCAAGAGAGTACTTGCTTCTCTGCTCCTAACATCAGATTCAGGTCACCCCCTGGGTAACTTTTTTCTTATGGGGTGAGAAAGGGGTTAACTAAAATGACTCTAACATCACAAAAGCCCTAAATAAAATAATACAAGAAGTGAATGGTGATAAGTGATATACTAATGGGTCCAGTCATATTAAAGTATGCAACAAATCATCTCAACCACCTTCTAAGGTCACCAGTTGAAGAAGGAGAAACCTCACCACCAAGGCTCTCAGTGCAGCAAGATGAGTAATTGGAATGGTGCTCCAACCCAAAATGTGATCCACTCACACTCTTGAAGCTTGGACTCCTTAGACTGTGCCCATAATTTCCATAACTCACCCCTACACTATAAGGATCAGGAGCAGGAAAAGAAAGCCTTTTCTTTGCTGATCCAGCTCTGTCCCTCTCTGGCGTGGATGGCCTCTGCCTTGGCGCACTCTGGGATCGAATTCGAGCCTTGGCAGACTCAGTTGCTGCCATGTAATTAGGCAATGCACCACCACCACCACTACTTGTTCCAGCCCTTCCATTTTGGTACAAGTTTCCTGTGTAATGATAATTAGACCTTAGGCTTGGTGTTTGAGAGGTGTGGTAGCTTCTATCTTCTCTGACACATCTTGGGCTTGCGGACCGGACTTGGATGGGTCTTGATTTGGCTGGAGAAGGGGTTGCAGGGGATTGGTGAATGGATCCATTTTGGTGGGTTCTATGGAGTGGTGAAGCAATGGAATGCCTTTGAGGTTGGTGGGGTGGGTTATACTGATAATTTGGATGTGATCTTCTGTAATTGGTTCCAAGATATGAATAAGGCTGAGAGGTGTCAATTTCCACAGTCTTAATGGGGTCTCTTTGATCAGTTGAAGCCCTTCCCCTGCTCTCCCACGGCTTCGTCGCCATCCACCGGTCCAGCCATTTCGGTCTGTCTTCAAGCTCATCTTCATTACCAATTGATGATGTCCTACCATTCCTCCAAATCTGTGTACCAATTTGTCACAACAAATTAGCCAAGGGAAATCAATCCAATTTCATAAATCAAGAAAACACAATCAAAGAGGATCAAATTCAAAAACCTGTTGTGAAAAGGCTTGGGACAAGGTCTTGTCCCTCTTCATAGCTGCTTCCTTCCTTTGCTGCAACATGGCCTTGACTTCTTCAACCGTGTGAGGCCGTTCATCCCAATCATCTGCAATGCTGCTTCCCTCTCTTGACTACCAAATTAACCAAAATAGACAATTCAAACACACACAAAATAAAGTTCCCATTTCCCTACAGTTGGTTGATTAACAACATTAGAATGAGAACTATTCCCTTTACTTTTGTGAACAAATAGTACTTTTTTCCCTTTCCTATTTTCCAAAACATAATACAGCTGATTATGAAAGCAAGAAAATATGCACAAATTTTGATCATTGGTTTAAATAATCAAATAAAACAAGTAGGCTCACACTGACCATTGATTTCCTATCTGAAATGTCCTGAAGATACCGGGAGTCCCAAACACTAGTGGTGTCACTGAAAGTTGATTTTCTACTGCCTTCAAGTGAAGACCTTATGCGCTGATCAACCACCCTTGCTTGAACTCTAACCAAAGCTTGCATGCACCTAAGCGTCATCTTTGCTTGCTTCCTAACATTGTGACCCCTCACCAAAGCTTGCAACTTCACTAACCCCTTTAGTGCACGAAGTGCTCTTCTTGCCTTCAAGGAAAAAAAAGGAGCAAAAGCAAACATTCATTCATTCAGATTAACCTTATCATTAGCTTCTCATTTTCACAATTCAGATCTGTTGAATGCACTCACCAGATACCCTCTAAAAGCGGTTTGAATCACAATCGCGGCATAATGCTGCCTGGCATGGTTAGCAGGTTTGGTCAACCTTGCCACCTCAACCGCAGCCTGAGCAGTGGCCATGGCAGCTTCTGCAGTGGCCACAGCCACTGCAAGTGCATGCTTTTGATCTTGGTCATTCCTTGAAGCCCCACTTGCAGCCACATCATGCTTCAACTTCTGCTGCGTGTTCACTGCTTCATGACTCACAGGTTTCCTAAAAATCCATCTTCTTTTTTCTCTCTTCTGCAAAAATAAAATTTTTAAAAAGAGGGTTAATTTTCCATGTTCATGATCTGAATTGATCTGCAAAGAAAAAAGTGTACATAGAAAAACAAAAAACACTCACCTTCTCTTCGTCCTCTTCTTGATCACACTCTTCTCTTCTTCTGCCACTCCTTTTGTCACTGTCTTTGGTGGGAGATCTGAATGCCCTTTTGACAGCGGTTAACCATGAACTACCACTTCCCTTCTTCCCCATGTAAATCTCAACCGCATTTACAGCTTCAACTGCCCTCAGAAAGAGCAAGAAAATAACTGTGTGCTGTGGAAAAAAGAAAGAAAATATGGACAGAAAGAAAAACAAGGAGAACCAAGGCAAACACTAGTGGTGCTACTTCTCCGGTTCAACCTTTGTTGTTATTTTTATCAAGTACACACACACTTCAGCAATGCTACAGTGAACTTGCTGTCCTCATCATGGTTCTGTCGTGAGTAAAATATCTGAGGCCACCCTCATTTAAATTCCTTAACAAAATTAAATGTAACATACATTACAATCTCTTAGTTAAAGGGTAATTCTGATTCACTTACTGTTTGTTCATTAAATTAAATGTAATATATGAAATAAAATTATTTTGACTCAAGATATCATATAATATTATTCTGAATGAAAAAGATCATGGTTGAAGATTATGCTGAGTAGTGCATGGATTAAAGTATGTGCAGAAATTGAATAATTTAAGTGGTAGTCAGAGACAGGCTGTGTATGAGAGTGGAATCATAGAATATTAATTATTTGTTGGAAGATTAATTTATCTAAATGTGCAAAGCTTATGGATTTTTGTGGCATGCAGTGAAAGTGTCAGAAGCCACCTTAAGCTTTTAGTGTTAATGAATAATAATTGAAAGTATACAATAAGAGAGAGAGAGAATGATGTTGAAACTAGTAAAAGGAAGAGAAGGATATGAAACAAGTTGAGAGTGAGGAAGAGAGAAGCCAAAACTGGCTTTTTCTATAATGGAATCAGAAAAAGATAGTATTTCTTTTTGGGGATAAAATAGCTTTTGGAAGAGGTTCCTACTTTCTTTGTTAAAAATATAAGGGCAAGCTGAGCAACTCTCTCATGGTGTCACGTGCTGTGAGCAGGTCGAGACATATCAGGTGAGTGATGGACCACGGTAGTGTGGTGGACCTCTCTTACACACAAGCACCATCCTGTGGCTTCACTTGTTCAAATACAATTTGCATCTTTTGCAGCAAAATCAGATGGCACAACTATCTATGCACATATTGTCTTAATCCTTAACTTAGCTTAATGGTGTCCACTTCCAATTCAATGTTCAACTCCATAGACTGGTCAAACTGTTCTAGATTCCCTCTGGAACTCAATTCAATGGTACTTTTGTATTATATTTTTATTCATTTTAAAATAATTAATGTAAAGTATTAATATGAAAATATGATTAAATTTTAACTTCATTACATACTTAATCTTTACAAAAATTGTATAATTTAGACTTAATTTCTATAAATCTTTACAAAAATATAATTTTTGTTAAATAAAATTCAAATTTTAATTGATAAATAACATTAACATTATTTAAAAAATCACATTTAATTTTTTTTCTTCAAAATAATGTGGGAGAAATTAAAATTGCGTAGCTTGGAGGGATGGAGTCACTTGTCAAGTATATAAGTATGGATAAAAGTGTTTCCTGTCTGCGAAGCAAGATGCTTCCTTCACAAAAGATATATGGAAAATATTCTATTTTATTTAGTGGGATATTATTCCAACACGTCAAGTTTTCAATATTCACTTTCGTCCCCTTCACTTAATTGCAATTTTATGCATGTATCTTTACGTCAAGTACATGCATCAGTGTTATTTCCTAATAATTAATCAATAAAATTAATTACGGCTTACTCAAGTTGACAAGAGCAACAAGTTGTAAAATTTATTTGAAATTTGGTTGAATTTGACACATCGTTAAATAAAAATTACATGTGTGTGATTTATTTTGTAAAAACTTCAACAATATGAAAATAATTCTTCCATGGTGAATTTAATTAACGTGTATTTGTTAGAGTAGGAAAGTATTAAATTTTTTAAGTATGTAACTTGTGAATTCAACTTAAATTCATGTATATAATTTTTTTTAAAAATGATTCATACTTTAGTGTTTTATAATCTTGAAAAAACAAACCCTAACTTATTAGGTAATTACAAAAATTTTCCGACTATTAGTTGCGTCTTTAAAAATGAGAAGGAAAATGGTCACACTTTTCATATATTTTTGTAATACTTGAAAATAGTATATCTAACAGAATTCTACTCAACATTTTTAAACGTGTTTACATTAAAATTGAATAAAAACAATAATAGTTTATTCTAAAAATGTTTTTCAGTGTTGGTTAAATAATTAAGAGTAAATAACTTCAAATATGTGATAAGAAATCCGATAATGATAAAATTTAAAAAAGAAAGAAAACCATTTTATTATTTTGATTTTACTCACCAAGAAAACAGAGAAAGATGTTTCTTCTGCTGCGTTTTTTTTTGGGCTTAACGGAATCGATGCAATGTTGGGCTTTCAAAACAGTAGCACCATCTCATCGACCCAGATAAAAGGAACGAGGATTTTATTTTTTATTTTTTTTACCAAAACGAGGCCTCAGTTATTTAAGACAGAAAGATAAGATTTCCCTTGTTCCCAAAAATGTGTCCTTTAATTACAATTTTGGCACACCAAAAACTCTTTTAGGTCCCCTATTATAGTTAATATATAATTTTATTCTTTTAATATTTTTAATTAAGTTAATCCTTTAATCTTGTAATGATTACAATCAACTTTTTCAAAATTGTAATATTATAATAATCCTTTTTCTAAATTGCTATAATCAAGTTCTGCTAATAATTTATTTTACTTATATATTTTTTTTATCAAATTATGGTAAATTAAATTAATTAAATCGTTTAATCCCTCTCTCTTTTTTCCATGACCTACTTAATATATTTAAGAAACATAACTATTTATTAAGAGTTTAATTTAATGCACTCAATATAAGAAAATGTACATCATCAATTAATTAAAATGAGATAAATATAAATTTAAAATTATAAAATTAATATTTTGTTGATATAAATTTTTTTGCAATTGAATGACAGTATACTTTTGTTCGTAATATTATTAAAAAAATTATACTATCAACATATTTTAATTAAATTCATTTATCAATTGTGACAGATTTTCTTATGCAAATTTCTGTTACTAATATATTGGGAGAAATAAGTTTTCCCCAACAAGTGAATATGCAATAGAAAGAAATTCTTACCCTTAAATTATCATCCAATTTTTTTTATAAAAAAATTAATTTTCTCTTACAATTGAAAATATGTGACCAGCTTCGTTGTCGTCAACAACAATAATAATACTAAGTTGCTAAAAGTGCTAGCTCACATTCATCTTCTACTTTTAGGAAATATTATTTTTGAATTGTATTTACACACATCACACACGTTTTTTTTAGCAACTTCTTTAACTCAATTTTTTTATTATTAGTTTAATTTTAGACATTGATTTAGTTATATAGTATATATGACACTTTTAAAAATAAATATTAACATTTAAATAATAAACAAATATTGAAAATGTGATAATAAGTACTTTAAAAAAACATGATATTTCAAAATATATTAGATGTTCCCTACCTTTCTAATGCACACGTTTGTTATTTATATTTTTATTCTATTAATTATTTTAAAATTAAGAATAATAATAGTAAATTATTTTATTTGTTAAATTATTATTGATATTAATAAACAGAATATTAAATTAACCTTAAAAATCGAAGCATTAAATTCAATTTATAATATTTTCAACTTATTATATTTTTGTTATAGCATTATAGTTTCAAGATTTAAAATCCACATTTATTATTACGAGTTATTAGCAAAAGGACCAAAATGCTTAATAAAAAAATTAAACACAATTGAATCCTTTGGAAACCTTAATCCAAAAAAGTGGCAGACCAAATCATCAATGCAGTTTATTATAAAGGCGATTTTGGCAACACAACATTATATTGAAAGAAGAAATTTCACTCATAAACTAAAGTTCAAAACTAGTCAACAAAAGCAATGCCAATAACCCCATCCTCATATTAATAGTATACTTTAAAAAGCATTCGAAAGGTACCAACAACTATTGACACTACATATGAGATTTCCCTTGGATTCCATATAAGTTTGCAGTTGTACACATCAAAAGACATTTAATCGAAGCAAAAGAAGAATAATAATCTTTATCTATAACAAAAAGAATGTAGCATGACAGCGAAAGATGAATCGTAAAAAAACATGATTATATGTGAAAAAGTGAGAAACAAATAGACGTAATGTTTTCTTTTGGACTAATCCTATCTAGAATAAATAAAAAATCAATCATGAATGACAAGAGAAAAATTAAAATACATACTAACCTATTGAGCAATCCAAGCTCAACTTTTTCTTCCTATTTGACCACCCAATCAAGGGGTTCAAAGATATAAAATGGATCTTTTGAACCCATCTACTGCAATATAAACAAAGGACTATGTCATTGGATGCTCCCAGCACCCAAGACATAATAAAACTTTGGTTGAATTACTCTAAAAGGTAGAATCCAAAGCTCAAATAGTTAGATTCTACCCAATGCTGAATACATGAATGAATATGATCTAACACTACTTCTACAATCTACTTGAAAAAAAAAAGCCCTTTTTCCTAAAACAAACATGTATGATGATGATGATGTTGACTTTTGTCATGATGAAAATGAGAATGGGTTAAGGTGGGTTAGGGGCACAAGCTTTATCTAAGAAATCTCTAATATGAGTCCACGGCTGAAGCTTTGGATTCAGCTTCTGTTGCGGTTAGCCTTGCAAGTTCTTTATCCTTGTAGAGATCAAGAAGTAGAATTCTCGTCAGAAGCTACTCCTGAGGCTTGTGTACTACCAACCGCTGTTGCTGCCACACTTGCTGATATTGTAGTTGTGGTTGCAGATCCTGTTGCTGATAGTGTTAAACTTTAGCCTCAATACACTTTCAAAGATACAATGCCAACAAAAATAGTATATTTCTGAATTAGAATTGTCACCTGCACTAGTAGTTGGCACTGCCATTGAAGAAGGAACTGACAATATACCAGTGGAGCCATAATGCTGAGGCAAAAATGGAAATTGTGCCATTTGGGGGTATTGAATTCCAAAACCATGAGCCTGGACACTCTGTGCATATTGATCATAAAAAGGGTAGATATTATGGATCAAGCCTACTGCACCAGATGCTCCAGTGGATGGGTAGTAAGGTGAAAATTGTTGAACTCCATAGACATTATAATAGCTCTGCAAAAGTGTACACAAAAAGTATAGCATAATAATGTAGGGATATAAATTAATATAGTTAGCTCTGAGGACTTTATTACATTAACACCTACCGGGGGATACAAGGTGTCTTGAGAATATCCAGAATATCTGTCAGTATGATAGAATGGACATTAGAGAAAAAGGTACAAAAAATGGGAAGAAAAGCAAAAAATGTTATACATAAAAATGACTATATCCTCATAACACTTTTATGTTACCCGTATGCTGAATAGGGAAATGTGTATTGCCTAGGGGGTTGATGGAAAAATGTAGATGAAGAACCATGATAAGCAGGTGATGCCAATAGTCCAGGTGGAGGCCTGAACCGTGCTGCACCTACAATGTGAGTTTACATTTCAATCCTTTTTTTTTTAATCTTATAACACAATCAATTTTGTTTTCAATTTTCTAAATAATCAACCATTAAAGGTGGTAGCTGCTTTCCTAGGATGAGTTAAATCTATTTAGATGAAATAACTGGGAAACTCAAACTTGTTTGCCAAGATTGCTATGCAAATTCACAACAAAATTAAATATTACTGCAGTTAAAGAACATCTGATATCTTAATTTATAAAAAAGAGAAAAAAAAAAGGTATTCTATTAGAGAAAAGAAAGAACATAGTAGATAAAGGGTTGAGACCATGCTGAAAAGTTGGTGGTCTGTTCTTGTTTGCACCAAGTGAAGCAAGATTGCAATTTGCCCTCCTCCCATCAATAACTGGGGATGGATTCTGACATGCTCTCATGGCTGCCTCTGGATCCTTAAATGTGACCTTGGAGAACAACAAATCATGGACTTAATGTTCAAAATCATATAACCACAAATGGAATAAACAAGCAAACCTAAACTATGCAAAAATGTGAGAATCATAAAAACAAAAAGGCAAATGGACTTACAAAGCCATAACCTTTGGATCTCCCAGTGTTCTTATCTGTGATAACAACAGCCTCTAAGATCTCTCCAAATTGATCAAAATACCTCTTCATTGTGTCCCTTTGAGTCTCCCAAGCTAACCCTCCAACAAATATTTTGGTAAACGTTGTGTCATTATATTGGTCCAGGTTGTTACCACCCACCATCAGAGATTGCCTTTGTTGAGACATTAAGAAATATCAAATACAACAAATTTCCAACAAAAGCAAGCAGACCCAAAATCCTAAACAAAACAGGGAGACAAATAGGATGAATAAAATACAAAACAAAAAAACAAAACCCAAAATCCAAAAGCAATATGAGAGGTGAGAAGGGAAAAGGAAACGGTTAATAAAGGCTGAAAAAGAAGCTGTTTGTTCTTCTAAAAACCCATCAATGAAAACACTCGTGTACTCATGATTCTGTTTGTGCTAGTCCTTCTTACTTTAACAAATGTTTTTTTTTTTTTTTACTGAGGCTATAATTGCTACTTTTCTACATTCACAACAACAACAAACTCCTCAGATTCCTCAACACTAGTACCCCCTAACAGAAAGGAAATCATTACTGTCGAAGGAGTGAACGAAAAAGAAACCTTCTTTGAAGAAAATATTTATATGCAAAGAAACTTGGTTGCTTGTTGGAGTGTGGAGAAGAAGAGAGAGTATAATATTAATAATAATAATAAATAAATAAATAAGGAGACAAAAAAGCTGCTAGTGGGCACCCACAACACTAGGGTGCATAGGCTGTCTCCAATGAGATACGAAGGACCAAAAGACCAACCTTTCTTGTTGTAACCCACTTTCTCTTTCTCCTTCTTCTATATATCTGAACCCAATAAATAATGTAAAACATATTTGTGGTGAGGTGGATCGAGTTAAGCCATTTTGGTCTCTCTTCCACCTCATCTTCATTGGCTCCAACCTGTCCTCCAAATCTATTACATTGTCGTGCAGCATTCAACGGACAATCTAATTAACCTTGGAATCTCAGAAATAAAAAAAAAAAAACCATGAAAATTGAAAACAAAGTGAACTTGTTGGCACAAAGCTTGAGAATTGCGACCAACAAGCACTTTTCTAGTTTGATGCATCACATTTTTCTCTCTAGTGAAAAACACCTTAAATGGGAAAACAAAGAAAAAAGATTACTGTTTTTTTATCTAATTGATCTCTTTGCTTAAACATAGAAAAGGGACATCAATCATGTTCCTTACCTTGGTCTTGGTCCTTTCTTCTGCTATGCCATTCCTTTTGTCACAGTCTTTTGTTGGGGATCTGAAAGCCCTTTTCATAGCCTCTGAAGCAATGCAACCTCCATTCTTCCTCTGTCAAAATGCAAGGCAAAAGTAGAACAATGCATCTGTGTTTACAGCTAAGTTGCTATAAAGTGAAAAACTAAGTTCATAAAAAGTAAAGGTTATCCAACTCCATTACTTGATAGAGGGAAAAAGAAGGAGAAATGAAAGAGAGGAGCATGGAATATTTCGTGTGGAGCTGAAATTCCACACTAGTCTGTCATAGAGGTAGCAGTCATCGTATAGGGAATGTTTTTGAAGCATAGCTTTGTGTTTTGAATCATCAACGATTTTTGTTGTGAAAGAGAAATGTGTTGTTTGTTATTGTTGATTCAAATGGACGTGTGTTACTGAAATATTGTACTTGTACATCTTGGTGTGCCACAATTCAGAACTAGGAACCTACGTTAACTTAGTTAAGATCACCAGGTTTGCCTATGAGAGAGAGAGGACCCAAATTTATGATCATCATGATGATTTTTTTTTAATATATACACGAGTGTACACAACAATAAACAATAAAAATTAATAAATGGAAAATTTTTATTGAAATTTATTGTATATAAATTTTTATTTTGAGTCCTTTTTTTTCAACTTATCATGTGCTTTTTGAATATATGTTAAAAAATATTATTAAGATATTATATAATTTGACAATTAAGTTGATAAAATTTATTATTTGTAAATTTATTATTAAAAATGAAATTGACACTATTTTACTCTAATAAAGAATCAAACTTTATAGAATCTTTTTAAGGAAAATTTGAGGGGCCTGGATCCGTCCCTAGACTGTATCTGAGCTGATTTGAAATGGTTTCATTCATTAACGTGGTAAGAGCAAGTTCAAGAACACTTTGTGGGGTTGATGGACCAGCCAGAAGCCTCCACTTCTCAAGGTAAGGTGCAACACCATGCCAACATTTTTATGTTATCATATCCAGCAAGACAAGATATTGGAGAGAAACATTGCTTGAAAAATGAAATTTTATTAAATTTTAGTAGATAGTTAAAAGCATATTAACAAATATCTTGTTAGAATTTTACTCCATCTGATCTTTTTTACAAGGTCCCGACATGATAATCACGATTCTTAAGAAAAACATGTAAATGTGTTAGTTAATGTATTGGGATTTAAAAGAATAAAATATTCTTCCACTTTTATCCCTATTTAAGTAAACTCACATCAATCATGGTATGTTAATTATCGCCAACTATTCTTGTAAATATAAATGGAGCATTCACTTAATCTCTTCCTCGAGCATTTACTTAATTACAATAAAAACTTTTCGCTTCTCCTGAATAATGTGTAGTTCTTACTAAATCGAACAATGTATAGTTCCCACCAAATCTAAAATTTGGGAAAAATTAATTTGAATTAGGTGCTAGATGACTTTTCATTCCCTCCAACTTTTTAAAATGAAACTACAAATGTAAAATTTAAAAGAGTATAAATTGTTACTAAGAATCCATGTTGCTGAGTACTTGTCACACCAAATAGCTTTAGAAATTAACCTAAACCATACTCCAACATATTCAAATGAGAAAAATTATAACCAATTGTTGGAAGAAAATCAAGGAATCGAATTGAATGTAATTTGCTCTGGAGATGTTGAAGCTAAAGCCATGAGTGAAAACTTGATTATAAATGAAATGTGTCATTCGGTGGAGAGGGAAATGGAGCACGGTGGATGAGAATTGTTTGATTTGAACAAACCATTTCTCATAGAGATACAATGGAGACAAAAACAGAGGTTCAACTTGAATCAATACAAGGGTGTCTAAATGTTCATCATGAAATGGAGGATGCAATGATGATAGAAACAAGCGATAAAGAAGGTCAATTAGATTTTGATTTGAATGAATCACTGTCATTAGGAGTTGAAGCTAAAACAGAGTTGCAACTCAGTTCAGAAGATGATGGAGTTGAACCTTTTGCTGAATTGAAAATGAAACATAGGAAGCGGCAGAGATAGAAATTGATGGAGAAACTGAATACGTTACTGGTACTTCTTAGTCCTTGTGGTTCAAATAGGCCTTTTCTATTAATTGTGTTAGATAATTAACAAAAAATGACTAAACAATATTGTTTTGGTGCTAAAAAAATCCTATGTTAAAATGACATAGTTTCATCATTTTCTATTGATTATTTAACAAAACTAACTAAAATTGACCAAATTAACTCGATAAAGAAAATTATATGATTAAAATACTTTATGATAAGAACTTTAATGTTTTATTAGGGTTTGTAAAGGCTTCTATTTTTATTATAAAATTATTGTTGTTTTTCTAAAAAATATAACAGTGATAATTTGTGTAGGAGATACAAGTCAGGCACCAACTGATGAAAGACACAAGAAACGTAGATTCCTTACCAATGAGCAACGCCAGTTAGTATCTTGTTTGTTGATGTAGCATACTCATAATGGAATTCTAGATAAAGGTACCAAATCAATGATTGCCTCATTCTATTTGGTCTCTCCTAGTGTTATTAAACGCATTTGGCGTCAAATCAAGGAAACAGGGGATGCATCTCATAAAATAATAGAAAACTGTGGATGTAAGAGAGTTAAATTCGACTGCACTCGATTTTGTGACATTCCTTTATCTAAATGGACTACTTATCGATCTTTAGCTTGTGCGTTGAACGTAAACAAGACATCACTTATTAGACTTTAAAAAGATGGGGCCATACGCCGTCACTCAAACTCCATCAAGCCATATTTAAAAGAAGAGCATAAAGTAGCTAGATTGAAGTTTTGTTTGTCTATGCTTGAAAGGGATAGTATTCCACATGATCCAATTTTTAAAAGTATGCATAAAATTGTTCATATTGATGAGAAGTGGTTTTATATGACAAAAAAATCTATGAATTATTATTTGCTTCCAGATGAAGATGAGCCACTGTATAGTTGTAATAGTAAGAATTTTATTAAAAAGGTTATGTTTTTAGTTGCCTTAGCCCGTCCTAGATTTGATGAGGAAGGGAATGAACTTTTCTCTGGAAAAATTGGTGTCTTTCCTTTTGTGACGAAAGAATCAGCAAAGAGAAGTAGCATAAATAGAGCTACAGGGACACTAGAAACTAAGCCTATTAATTCTGTAAACAAGGAAGTTAGCAAGAAGTTTTTGATTGAGAAAGTTCTACCTGTCATCAAACAAAAGTATCCTAGAGATGCATTGCATGAACCAATTTATATCTAGCAAGATAACGCAAGGAGTCACATAGATGAGAATGATCCTAAGTTTTGTCAAGCAGGCAAGGAAGATGGATTTGATATCTGTTTGATATGTCAACCTGCAAATTCTCCTGATATGAATGTACTAGATCTTGGTTTTTCCAAATGTCATTCAGTCACTACAATACAAGGAAGTCCTTAAGACAATATATGACCTTATTAATGTTGTGGTGAATGCCTGTGACACATTTTCTTTTATTGAATCTAATAAGATTTTTTTGACACTCCAATCATGCATTATTGATTGAAGTCATGAAGAACAAAGGTTCAAATAACTACAAAATTTCACATATAAAGAAAAATGTGATGCAATAACAAGGTCAATTGCCTACTTAATTGAGATGTGATCCTCTATTAGTGGAGGAAGTGAGTTGGTATTTGAGAGATGAGAACAATGTATGTCCATTTTAAAATTTTACATGTAAGATAATTTTGTTTTTATTTATTTTTATTTGATTTGTTGTAAACTTGTTAGTTGAGTCGCTCATCATTTTGCTTTAGTATTATTGTTAAGACAAGAAAGAACCTAGCTTCAGTTTTGCAAATAAGCACTTTTTTTTTTACAATGAATAATTGAATTTTGTTTTTTACATGAAAATTGTTAATTTTTGGGTTTAAATGAGTTTAGTCTCAGCAATTTTTATTTTTTACTTTA